CTCCTTCTCAGGTAAGGCGCACCAGAACACATGGTGCGCCCTCCTCCTCGGCCTCCAATTTCTAATGCGCAACGGACGCCCCCGTGTCCGATGCGCGAAGGCCATGGGGCCAGGAAAAACTAGCACTCAGAAGCACCGGCCTTCCTGGCCCCAGCGGCGGATCTGGTCTCGGGCTCCGCCGCCAACCACGTTTCGGCCGCGGAGGGTAGGGAGAGCGGCGCCTCGCAATACCGACACTCCTCTCCCCCCGCGGCCCCACCACCACCGCATCAACGGTGCGGCCCCGTTTGAGTCGCGGAGGATAGGGCGAGTGGCGCATCGCCATACCAACACTCCTCTTCCTCCGCGACTCCACCCCGGCTGCAGCGATAGAGGGAGCGGACACCCCTCTATCCGCAGCCCTCCAACGCACATCCGAAGTGGGCTTCCCAAGCCCACTCGGAGTGGCCACCTCGGGCCGGCCCTACACCACGGGCCAGCCAAGGGGTTCCTCTTTGTTCACCGTGGTTGACCAAGCCACGGCTACTAAGCCCCCCCGCCACGACAAGGCGGGAACCCGTTCGGGGGGGAACCTAACCTAACCTAACCTAACCTAACCTAACCTAACCTAACCTAACCTAACCTAACCTAACCTAACCTAACCTAACCTAACCTTTTTTTTTTTTTTTTTTTTTACATGGGGAAATGCCTACGCATACCCGCCTTGCGGGGGCAAGAACGGGTTATGTCGGACTCGCACCGACTAAAACCCCATGATGTTCCACCCTCGTCGCATATTGGCAGGGCCACGGGAACGCTTTCGCACACTTCCGCGGCCCCACCTGCGCTGGCCGCCCCATGGCGGTCCCTCCTCGGGAGAGGAACACTCCTCCCCCATCTCCCTCTCAGGTAAGGCGCACCAGAACACATGGCGCGCCCTCCTCCTCGGCCTCCAATTTCACATGCGCAACGGACTCCCCCGTGTCCGATGCGCGAAGGCCATGGGGCCAGGAAAAACTAGCACTCAGAAGCACCAGCCTTCCTGACCCCAGCGGCGGATCTGGTCTATGGCTCCGCCGCCAACCAAAATTCGGCTGCGGAGGGTAGGGAGAGCGGCGCCTCGCAATACCGACACTCCTCTCCCCCCGCAGCCCCACCACCACCGCATCAATTGACGGTGCGGCCCCGTCTGAGTCGCGGAGGATAGGGCGAGTGGCGCATCGCCATACCAACACTCCTCTTCCTCCGCGACTCCACCTCGGCTGCAGCGGTAGAGGGTGCGGACTCCCCTCTCACCGCAGCCCCCCGACACACATCCGAAGTGGGCTCGCCAAGCCCACCCGGAGCGGCCACCTCGGGCCGGCCCTACACCACGGGCCAGCCAAGGGGTTCCTCTTTGTTCACCGTGGGTGACCAAGCCACGGCTACTAAGCCCCCCCGCCACGACAAGGCGGGAACCCGTTCGGGGGGGAACCTAACCTAACCTAACCTAACCTAACCTAACCTAACCTAACCTAACCTAACCTAACCTAACCTAACCTAACCTAACCTAACCTAACCTAACCTAACCTAACCTAACCTAACCTAACCTAACCTAACCTAACCTAACCTAACCTAACCTAACCTAACCTAACCTAACCTAACCTAACCTAACCTAACCTAACCTAACCTAACCTAACCTAACCTAACCTAACCTAACCTAACCTAACCTAACCTAACCTAACCTTTTTTTTTTTTTTTTTTTTTTTTTTTTCGTGGGGAAATCCTCATGGATACCTCCGGCTGCGGGGGCAACCGGAAGGTTATGCCGGACTCCTACCGGCTAAAACCCCACGGTGCCTCCTCGCACGTGCGCGCGGGGCCGCGGGAATCCAAATTCTTCCGCAGCCCCACACTAGTGCTGGCCCGGTCTGTCCGGGCCTCTTCTCCTGTACGGGGTAGCGAGGTGTTCAGCTACCCCCCTCCACAGCCTCCAACTCCACCTGCGTATCGGACCCCCCCGAGTCCGATACGCGGAGGCCATGGGGCCAGGAAAATCGAGCGCTTATTAGCGCCCGCTTTCCCGACCCCAGCGGCGGATCTGGTCTATGGCTCCGCCGCCAACCAAGATTCGGCTGCGGAGGGTAGGGAGAGCGGCGCCTCGCAATACCGACACTCCTCTCCCCCCGCGGCCCCACCACCACCGCATCAACGGTGCGGCCCCGTTTGAGTCGCGGAGGATAGGGCGAGTGGCGCATCGCCATACCAACACTCCTCTTCCGAGTGGGCTTCCCAAGCCCACTCGGAGTGGCCACCTCGGGCCGGCCCTACACCTCGGGCCAGCCAAGGGGTTCCTCTTCGTTCACCGTGGTTGACCAAGCCACGGCTACTAAGCCCCCCCGCCACGACAATGCGGGAACCCGTTCGGGGGGGAACCTAACCTAACCTAACCTAACCTTTTAATTACAACTTTTCTAATAACTTTGCTAAATATTGGTCTTTTTCGTTGAAATTTTCTTTAAATAGTGTAATTAACTGCCCCCCATATTTCCCTTTAGTTTTCTTAGTTATTTTTCACCGTTATATAATAAATTTTCACATTTTTCCTTCTTTTATAGTATTAAATTCATAAATAAAACATAAATTAATCTATAACTTTACTGAAAGTTGCTCTTTTACGTTCAAATTTTCTTTTTAAATAGTGTATCTAAT